GACAGTGTAAGCTACCAATATCCTACCAGATACTCTGTCCTTTGGGTGTAAAAAGGCAACAAACCATTGCAAGGAACAAACTTGCAAACCAGAAAGAGGAACAAACCATTGCAAATCAGAAAGAGGTTGGAATATTCTTCACTATGGCCAAATAACTCGTACTGAGCACAAAATCAATCTAACATAGAACTGGCAATTGCAAAAGTTGGGCATATGGCTGCAGAATAGAACATAGAGGGTCTAAGTCCTGACAATGTAGAAAATATTCAGTGAAAACTAGGATATTTAGAAAATTTATCATTGCTTATACTGGAAATTGACAGCTGTGTCTGCAAAGAGAGGAGCCCAAAACGCTGATCTTATCCCAGCCCCAGAGCTGCCCTCCTGGAGTTGTCCTGTCGTCACAGGCATTTCCACTCTCCTGATCGCCTGGCATTCCCCGCTTTCTGTCACACCCATAGTAAATCTGTCACTCAAAGACATTCAGAATCCAACTATTTGTTCCTCCTCCACTGCCATCACCCTGGTCCTGGCCACATCCCAGCCAAGGCCTTGGAACAGCTCTCCAGTTGAAATTCCTGTCCTCTACACAGTCTGCTTTCAAAACAGCATGCTAGTGTGATCCTTTTAAAGCATGAAGCAGATCACACCATCTCTCCCTGATTACCCAGCTAGCCTCCTAGCTTCTGGCTTCAGCACAGCAGCAGCTGAAGAGAGTGTATCACCATCACAACTCTCATGCTCACCATACCCACTCCCGACTTGGGCAGGGCCAGGTCCTTGCAATGACTGATGGGGACCCAGTGCAGGAGTCTCCTCTCCCAGAACTCCCTTTGGCTAACTCTACCACAGCTGCAATGACCTCCTTGGTGTTTCTGGATCATGACCTCCTTGGTGTTTCTGGATCGTTCCAGGCATCACCCTCCCGGCTTCACCCCCTACCCCCAACTTGGGAACTAGCTGGCCCCAACTGCTCCCTCTCTGAGGACAGGAGCACAGGACTCATCTGTCTTTCAAGTCTTTCCTCAGACTCCCTACTCCTGGGGTATGCTGACAATGCTATTTTAAATACAGACTACTCCCCATTGTCCTGCAGCATCACCCCCAGGCATGCTCTGACTCTTGTCTTTGGACATTCCCAGACCAAGATTCCCTGGAGGTCAGAGATTCTATGGGCAGCCAGAGAGAGCAAAGGAGGCCCAGGCCAGGCCCCAGGCTGATGCATCATCTATTCTCTTGTATTTGCAGTCCCTCTTTGCTTCTCAGCAAGTAACAAGGAGATGGCCCTGGTCCTCAGGACAACCACTGAAACTATTTTCCCTCCAGTATAAATGACATACACGCAAGAGAATGGCATTAAGCCATGGACTTCTGGTAGTACAGGTGAGACCCACCTCAGAATGAAGCCCTGATTTTTTTTTAAAAAAATCTCTTTTAAACAAGAGGCCTCATTTGTTCATGTAAATAAATAAATCAAAAAAGAGAACTGAATGTTTTAGACTTTGTGTATCTAGACCCAAGGTCAAAAATGTAATGACATTACTATTATTATTATTTTTTTTTAAGCAAAGATTGTTTCATTTCTACAATAGCTACCTTTAAACTGCAGTGATTTACCTGGAATTCTGCCTCCCCTGAATTAAACTGTTGCATCTCTCAAGGAAACAAGCTGAATCCGTTTTGTTTATACAGTTTGGTCATTTATAAGGGAGCTGCACTTGAGCTCTTAGTGATCATTGCAATGAAAGAAAACATGTTCCATAAGCAAGGCTAAATTGTTCTTAAGAAAGAGATTTATTGTTTGAATAATTAAAATAACAATATACAATGTTTCTCTATCAGATTGGAAAACGTCAAAAAAAAGCCTAATATCCAGTATTAGTTTGGTTATAAGAGACAGAAACTACTGCAAACTGAGGTGAGATGTGTAAATGAATAAAATGCTGGCAAATTGTCAATACATATTGAAAGTTATAAAAATTATTTACTCCTTGAGTCAGCAACTTGACTTATAGAAATTTATTCCCAGGGATAAATGAACACATATACAAAGATAAATGTGATAGAAGTCATTATGATATTTTTCTAAGAGAAAAACTGGCAAAAACCAAAAATATGACACTCAACAATCGTGTTGGAGATATCTAGTTGCTAAGTATCCAACACCCCCTCTAACTTAAGAAAATAACACACATTATGTCCATGATGGCTTACAGATGCTTCATAGCTAGGGGCGACCCGGCCAGTGATCCAGGGAGATGCTGATAAAATTGATCTGTGATGCACTTCTGGAAAGGACCTTAAAGGGAGGTGACTCATGCGGGAGGGGCAGTCATCTCCCTTTGCTCTTCCTTATCCAGGGAAATGTGAAAGGAAGTTGACACTAGAGCTTGGTGGCCATCATTTGGGGATGAAGAATGCTGCTAGGAGAGGCAGAAATCTTCCTAACACATAAGGAGTTTGGGTGCCTGATGACTTAGTCAAGCCAACTAGTCCTGAGCTGTCTACATCCAGAGTCCTCTTACGAGAAAAATAAACTCTTGTGAGTTTAAGTGGCTGAACTCAATCTTAACTAATTAGATAAATGTAATTATTGCTGTATTAAAATAAACATTACACAGACATTAAAAAGTCATGGAGTTCAAGACCAGCCTGGCCAACGTGGTGAAACCTCATCTCCACTAAAAATACAAAAAATTAGCTGGGCGTGGTGGC